TATAAATATCAAATCACTATGTGGTACACCTGAAACTAATATAATATTGTATTATCAACTACAATTTAAAACTATATTTAAAAAAAAAAGACTGGAAAAAAATATCCAGGTACAAATCATCATTATCAAGTAAAAGAGCAGGTGGTTATATTTTCCTTTCTATATTCTTTTGCATTTACTAAAATTTTGATATGAACCAGGTATTTCTTCGTATAGTTAAAAAATACCTCATTTCTAAGTGAATGTAATACAACTGATCTGAAGTGTGGTATTTTTTACCCCTATGAACTTCCAAAAAGATGTCCACTTAATCTAATTAGTTATGTTTAAATTGTAATAAAGTCTGATTAAAAACATATATATATTCTTAAAGGCCAATTTTGAAATTTTATTCTAGATGAATTTTAAGTCAAACTATAATATCCAGAAGTTAATGTTTAAAATGCAAGATTAGTTCATGTTCCAATCCTCTTAAGTCTTCTGTTTGAAAGTTCCGAAGTAGCAAATTAACTGCTAACTCTGGTAGAAATAGACTGAGGGGGGCCAAAGGAGGCACTCTATTGCTATATTTCTGTATTCCAATCAATGTACTCTTCTCAGTTTAAATCAGAAAAACAAAGAAGAACCCAATTCCTAATGGAATCAGTATAATACAGCAGGCAAAAAAAAAAAAAAGTCTACTCTCAATCATCTAAGACATCTAAGACACTGGAGAAAATTGATAACACAGTACAGATTGTACAGAATGGTAACTAATCGTCTGTGGACTTCTTTGGGAAAATGAAAAAAACAGGGAGACCAAGTTTCCAGAGAAAAAGGAAATCAGGAACTCAGTCTCTGAGATAACTAGGGGTCAGAGCAATGGGTTCCGGCCTTCCTTCAATTCTCCTCCCTCATCCCCAACTCCCTCTTAATTTTCATAGATTCCATTTCTTTACTTTATCAGGCAAAAAAGATATTTCTAGGAAGGTTAACATAATCTTCCTGACTGATAAACAGGAAAACAAGGCATAAACAGTGAAATAGGAAACTGTTCCCAGGAGTAAACAGATAACAAAGGAGTCTATGAAAGGAGGGTGTGAGGAGAGTTCAGCCCCAGGACTTGAGCATGACCTTTCCATAGATTATTGGATCTGAAAGAAGCACTGAGTGTCATCTGATCTGTGGTTTCCAGATTTGGCTGGTCATCAAGTCCCCTGGAAATCTTTGTAAACATACAGAGTCCTAGATCCCATCACTGTTGATCCCCCTTTATTGAGTCTGGGATCCAGTGAATATTGGGTCATTCCTAATATGTTTAACACGGGAAAACATTCGGGCCCATGCACACACACAAAAAAGCCTTGGGCATGCTTTCATTGCTTTTAGCGGAAAATCCAGAGTGGATGGTATAATATATATGCAAATGAGGAAGATGTGGGAGGGAGTGGAGGAGACTAGTTAGGTTAAATTCAGTTGTCTTTTATTATAAGAACATAATTTGATTTGTAAATGAGAGGGAAAATCAGAGATGGGAGCACAGAGTGAAAAAAGTGAAAGAAATAATATGTAATTGTATACCTGAAACAAATTGCCCCTCTCTCTCCCTCTGCTTCCACAAATGCTCTTTCCTCCACGTGGATGATTCTTGCCCCCATCCAAATCTAATGCTACTCGTCTTCCTAAATCTACTTTAAAATTTCTGAGTGAATAAATGTTATTTCTTCAGACCTCCCTGTAAGTCCCATCCTTCCTCACCACATACACACACACACCTTCAGGGAAACGGTGCAGCAAAAAAACCCCAGGGGAACAAATCCCTGTTGGTGGAATTCCAAAAATCTTTCATCAGAAAGAGAAGCTATTTGGAAGGCAGCAGAGTTTGCCAGTGTCCTTGAAATCCTACTGTATTGATTAAAGTGTTTTTGATACACTACATACATCTTGGATTAAAAAAAAAATGTGCTGTATTCCACTAAGGATTTTATGTGTGGATCATTAATTTTTTTTCATATTTTATATTTGCCATTTCAGGCACCTCCACACATCCAATGATATAAGAGATCATTGGTAATACCAGAACCCTGAATTCTATCCTTTGTAAATTCAAGATAAAATTTCTTGCAAGATTTGGCAGTTGATTATCCAATAAATATTCATTTACGAAGCCATTTGAGCATTTGTGGTTTGATGCCTAAGTATGATGATTAATTAGCTCCTTCTGATTCTTATATGATACAAAACAGAAATAGTAACAGAGGAGTGTCGTTATCCTAAAGACAGAAATGCAGAAAATCTTTAACATGTCTTGGTTTTTATACCTTAGGAATGCAAAGTGTTTGATGGGGGTATTCCAGCAGATAAAAAGCATAAAAAAATGATAAATTACCTGACCGTCCATCTCTCTGGAAGTCCACATGATACCATTCTCCATCGTTCACCTTCTTCTGCAGAGCTCTGATTTTTATTGTACCTGATCCCATGTCCAGGAGGAGGTAGAGATGGCCATCTAGCATCTCAATAGCAAAGAAGTCAACCTTTATCATCTGTGGGTGCTTAGCATCTTTTTGGTGCCGTGGCTTGCCGTGGCTAAATAAGATGAGGCCATTTGGCTCTGTTGTGCGGAAGTCAAATGATATGGAGCCTGTTTTCTTTGCATTCCACTTAGGCAAAGAGATGAAAGACTCTGGGGTTTCAAAGGTGATTGGGTCCAAAGTTGCAACGTTCTCACATTTAAATGCCACTACTCCATGGATTTTCATCTTAGGGTCTCCTTGCTTGGCAAGTCGAGATAACTCCAGCCTTACATCATTATTTTTATACACGACCTGTAGGAAGAGTATAGCAGTGAGAAATTAGGCCCAGATTTTAATATTGAGAGCTTCTCATCAGCTCAGGTAACTGGCAATTAGATCATGAAAAGGCGTACAATGTTTAGTGCTGTTTGATGTGTAGGACAGATTTTTCAGCCAAATAAAATTTAAGTATCAATGGTTCCAATCTAATATCATTCAAATAATGTGTCCACACAACACACACACACACACACACACACACACACACACACACACTCTCTCACACACTGCCTGTAGTTAACTCAAATAATCTGAATAAACCTGCATGTAGCTTTTATTATTTCAAGCATGTGTAGACTTGAATATATAAAAGCTATTTGCTTTCATTAGTTAGCTATTCATTATACTTTGTTTATTAAATATGAGTATTGAGGTTTTTCAGTGTTGTCATCACTAAAGTATTTGAAATTAGATACTTTTGCAAAAGAGTCCCTTAAAATATAGGATGTATTCTATGGTCTATATATCCATGGTAAAATATGTTATCTGTAAGATAATCATAAGTTGCCTCCAGTTATTCAACCATAATGATTTCTTTAAAAGCTCCTAGAAACCCATGTGGTGGAATATGGTGAATCTTGTCATTACTCAAACTGAAAATGAGCTGTGGTTCCATCTTCTGAAGGCAGCCACGTAGTAATATTAGCAAAGTACAAATGTATGTCAGTACTGGGAGGCTCAGCTAAGGGCTCAGAAGAAGGAGCACACCAAGGGAGAAAGAGAAAGGTCAGGCTCTTCGTCTTCTTGTTTCTTCACACAAGATGGTGCGAGCAAGTTCTTGTGACCTTCTGGGTCCGTAGAGNTTTTTTTTTCTGCATGGATAAGATAAACATATATAACAGAACTATTACAGTTGTTCTGATCTAGCTTTCCAAAATGTAGCAATCCAAAGTTGGTGGCAAATTATTCATTTAAACTCCCTTAAAGAGACTTTGGAATGGCAAAAGGCAATTATATCTTGCTTAGAACTGCATTCTTGTTATTATAATTATTTGCAAAGTTATAATTCATAAATTATTATAATAATTTTGATTTTAACACATCAGTGAATCTGGTCTTATGTCACAAAATTACATTTATTAGTTGGAGGACAGAATTACAACTACAGAGAGAAATAAAGTCAGGAAGAACAGTGACTTAGCACACTCATTCTTTTCCAATAACCGTGAGGCCCTGGTAGAGTTTCTTGCAGTAAAATACCAGGAGTGGGTGGCCAGTCCATCAAAGAGATTTGGAGGACTGGACAAAGGACCCTCAGTGTGGGAGAAAGCAAAGTGCTCTCCGACCCCACTTTAATGTGGTTCTCTACAAAAGGCGATGCCAGTTGCCCGAAGACACACAGCTAGGGAGTGTGGCGCCAGTAACTTGTGGACAAGACAGAATCTGAAAGTCTGTCTCCAGAGCCAGGAAAAGATTATATAATATTTTTTTGTTTTTCTTTCCATGGGATTCTTTTCATGGTAGTTAAGCTCCCTTCCTTCAGCAATGGAAACTGTAGGGCTCTACTAAGCCTCCATGATGTGAGATTTTAAGATCTGGATAAATAATTTGTGATCATTGCACTCAAGTTGTATGGCTCTCCCTTCTTCCCCTGGCTCTTGGCCTTTACTTCTCAATCACGCCTCCGCCTGAGAACCCTCACAGGAAACAGGGGAAGCTGGTACAGAAGACGGCCGATGCTGTTGCTTTTAGCCCCCGTGATGAAAAGGTTTTGCAAAATAGACTTGTTCCTGACAAGTTGTATAAAAATATGTTCAGTAATTTTAATATTATTTGAAGGCAATTCATTGTATGATATATAGGTATACACACAGGGTGTCAAAAAATGTATACACATTTTAAGAAAGAAAAAAAACCTGTTATTAAAATTGTAATATAATGAATGACGTTAGCATTCCTTCGATTAAGGCCATCTTTTGAGCGAACACCATACTAGACATTGCTACCGAATTCAATTCAACTTCTAAAAGTAATACATAGATAACATCTCTTAAAATGTGTACATTTTTTTGGAACCCCTGGCATATATATGTGAATATGGTTATGGATACGGCTATGGGTATGGATATAGATTCAAACAGTGCTAGGTTTGAATTCCTATTCTGCTACTTAACCAGTTACACTGCCTAGGGTAAGTTCTTTAGCCTCTCTGAAAGAGTTTAACTCTATCAAATTAGGTTATTAATACTTACTTTGTAGTATCATTTAAGCACATACAGTACTAAGTGCTTGGTCTTGGACATTGGGTAAAGAGTAGCTGTTATCATTACTATCATGGTCTTAAACGTGTAAGATCATAAATGTTTAAGAGGGGAGTGCTTGTCATTTAAGTAAATAAGTGATTAGTTCTCTGAAAAGCAAAGAAGCATTCTGTGAAGTAATTAATCACCTTCAAATCATGTTTACATGAATACTCCCCAAATTTCATAACTCTATTTCTTGTTTCCCATGAACTCTACATTTTGAAAGATTTCATCACTAAACACATAGTGTTTATGAAGAGATACTTAATTAGATCATTTTAAATTCATCAAAGGCATCTAAATGACAAAATGAGATAGCCTGAGTTGACAGAATGATAGACTGATGCAAATACTTATTTTATGTAGTTTGTGCTAAGAGTTGCTAAGTATGTAGACTATGCCAGTTTTGTTGCAACACTGAGCATATATATAACTGTTCTGCATTTCTAATTTCAAGGACCCTGAAAAGTATACAGACTGCATGTTGAGAATTGCTACTTTTCAACTATGACTGCTGAGCACTGGGGTATTTTCTCCTAATGCGTTCCTTAATTATTTCCTTTGGAAAGTCCCAAGTGCTTCAAATGTCAGATGGGTTGTGCCTTTTGCCAACGGTTGCTTAGTTAACTGTTTATTTAATGAATGGGATTTCATGTGCAGCTAAATTTCTCATGGCACACGTTAGGAAATTCTTGGCAGTGTTTAAATTGGAGAACTGAGAAACATATTGGCTCTATGGAAGTTCAATCAACTCCCAGGCAGGAGCAGGGCCTTTGCCAAGGAAAATTCGCTAAAATAAAAGGTACGGACTAAACCATCCCATAATCCAATGCAAGCTGACTTTGGTGTGCAGGATTAAATGAATGCTGGATTCGGGTATCTCTGGTAGCCATGCATGGAAGAGGGGCACGCTTTACAATTTCAGGAGAGAAATGCGGAAAGTGGGCTCCGTGTTAGGGAGGAGGACAGGATACTGAAATGTATCAATTGCTTAGAAAACTCAATTAGCTGCTAAGAAAAAATAAAATGAAGTGTTATGTGAATTTCTCACGTTTCTTCCTTATGGAGATCAGTCTAAACCTACGTTTTTAAGTGATTAAAAGATATAATGTTTACTTATTTCAATTAANACAACCAAAACTACCACTACAGCCAGTTCAGATTTATGACTGTTTATTTTGCGTCAGGCTCTGTTTCCAAACATATGTATCTGTGTTTACTCCTCACAGGCATGCTAGGAAATAGGCGACGTTACCCTATTTATCAATAAACACGTGGAGGCTCAGAGCTCACTGAACGTCTTGCGTCATGATGGTGTCTAATACTCTGTTTGAACATCTAACAATGTTAACTTCAAACATTTTCTCAGTGTCTCAGCAGGAAATGTCTCTTGGTTTTTAACAGCAATTCTAAGTAGCAGATTCACCATCAAACAGCTATTTGCCACCAGGATGACCTTGTTATAAGTTATATGGATTATTCCAGAAGCTAGTATTTTTCTTCCATTTGTCCACACTAAAATATATCTAAATGAAGCAAATATGACATTTGAGCACAGAAATTTTTCATGTACCTCTTCATTAAAAAGTCTCTTCAAGTATGGTTTGCGCAGAGGGGCTTATTTCTCTGTTTATAGTTTTTAAACAGGTACGTCATTTATGATATATATATATATATATATGTATAGATATAGCTATAGGTATATAGATATATAGATATATAGATATATAGATATAGATATAGATATCTGTATTCTAAAATTCCATGAAGTTTAAGGATTATCTAAGGGGACTGTCATTTTAGTTTTACATTTTGTTTGTTTTAAATACATTTAATTCTTTTATCTATTAAGAAAAAAAGGAGAATATTTCAAATGGCAAAATTTAATTCTTCTTTTCTCCTACTTGTGACCTGTTCATGGATCATCTATTTATAGCAATGTGCTTATTTCAAAACACAACTAAGAGTTAGCCAGTAATTGAACAGTACAAGGGCCACCCCAACAAGGAGAAAATAAATTGCATTTGTTTTGACATGACCCAGATAAGAAACAGCTCAAAAAAGGAAACAAAGTATATTCCAACTTTAATCTCCAACATTAACTTATTTTTTATTTTGAAATTATTTTTCAATCCCCAAACTTTCAGTTTCTTCAGACAAGCACTTGTTAGGTAAGATAATGAAGAAAATGCAATTTTAATCACTCCCCTGTATATATGCCCAGTCCCACAGAAGAACTTGGGACACTGACAATAAACGGGTTTAATTTATCTTGAATGTTTGCTATTGGCATACATATTGGTAATGTGTAAACAATATCTAGACACACATAAACACACACACAAAGTTTATACATTACTCAATGTAAATGTGTTCATATGTAATATGTCAAACCTGCTATCATTATGCCTAGAAAAAATATACACATGTATTAAATTAAAAAATTCTTAGTTAAGACACACAGATGGTCTTACTCATTTGCAATGAAAAACATCTTGGCCTAAAAACAAATTGTACCACTTATAGGCTTGGCACACTACAAAGGAAGGACTATAGCCAGAAAAAAAAAAAGATTATTTTATGATTTAAAGAATTACAAATTAAACAGATTTTCCTCAGCATTCCTGTCACCATGAAGAGATACATATAAAAGCAGAGAAGAGGCAATGGGGTCTTTTTGTTTTTAGTCATTGTACTCATTATCATCTGATAACCCACCCAAGATCGAGT